AAAGACTCCAAGATACAGCCAGTCTCTTAAAACTAGGGACAGAATGAACTATTGTCCTAACAAAAAGTGTTATCCTGATTAGTACAGCTATTCGGGGAAAAGTGTAAAGTTGTATCCTCATTTCACACTCCTAACAAAATCATAAGAGTAATTTGTTTACAAGAGTTTGAAGGTAGAAAGCCAGAGAGGTTAAATGTTTGTAACAAAATATATTCTTGGGAGCAGAGAAAACTTTTCAAAGAAACAATGAAAATGAGTGGACCTGATTGCATAATTAATTTTTTCTATATCAAAACCCAATACCACTATTTTAAAATTAAGAATTTACAAACGGCTGCCTTCTATGAAAAGCTCTAACAAAGATAAACAGTAAGTATAACTTAGTTGCAAATATAACTTTGGTAACAAAAATAATTTATCACTTGATCTACTGGTAAAGATTTTTTTTTCCATGTAAATAAATACCCAGATAGCTCAGAGTATAGGAACACGAAGCTCACAGAGCCTTATTGAGGACAATCTGGATTAGAGACAAAGCTTGGGAGGACACTCTTAAGAGCAGCAATTACAAGATCTGCCTGTACATACGTTGATTTTCCTCCTTGATTTACAGTCAGGTTAGAACCATGTTGTGTTCAGCACTAAGAAAATGGTCATTTATAGATCTATACAGAAACAATTCGCCACCATTAAAAAGGGAATGATTTAATTGTTGAAATCGAAGGACATCCAAAATCTATTAAGATCAGTATATTCCCATTAAGAAAAAAGATAAGATGTGCATGTGTAACTATCAAGGGCAAAATATTAATGGTGATTAACCCTGGAAGTGTTTCTAAGTTTTTGAGTATGTAAATATAAAATGGAAAAAGATTTTTACTATTTCTAAGATTATTCTTAGAAATCTAGTCTAAGAAAGCAAGGCGAAAATCTGCCTGGAATTCTTATGGCAGTTTACTTACATTCTGTCAAATACTGTGCGGCCCCCTCATCCCCACCCCAACAAAACTCGTTACTAATCTATTTATGAAGTTGCAAAACTTTTCTAAAATGTTTTCTAAAGATGTAGAACAGCTTTACAACAAATTGTTTTAAAGGAGGCTGTGTGATTTGCTTGAGCCTCATGTTGAGTGCAATTACAACTAATTTTTTTTTAATGAGGCCTTTGATGAGGAGCAAACAGAGTAGGCCATGAAGTGTGTTACATAATTTACTGTATGTTCAAATGGCAAGCTCTTTTTCCCCAATTTTGTCTTCCCCTTCTTCATCTGGGTCCCTTGATAGCTCTATGAGTTTGCATTGCTGAGGACCAAACCTGCAGCCTCACACATGCCAAGACAAGCCTTCTATTTCTTGGCTCTGGCATGAGTCCAGTGTCCCATAGTCCCTGCCACTGCAAACCAGAGCATTATTTTCCAAAATAATTCCAGAATCTTTTAACAACCTCACATAATGGCAACACCCCATTTTTTTTTTTGGCAAAACAATCATAAAATCTGTAACAACTATGCGGCAAAATGCAGTTGTTTTTAACGATTAACCAGGGGGGGTTGCAGGGGTAGGGAGGGTACACTAGGCCATACCCAGCATTGCCAGAGACCAACCAGGGTCTCAGCACGCAAGCAAAGACCTTAACCTCTGTACTCTCTCTACCCTAGTAATAGCTTTTATGTTTAAGCTAGGAAGGTTTTAAATGACCTAGAGAGGACTTTATAAACTCTTAAACCATTGCTCCCCATATGGAGACCAAATGAAATGATACAATATTGAACAAAAAAAGTATTTGAATAGATCAGTAATTAAAAAAAATTTTAATCAAGTATTTTAAAGATCAAGGCACCTCTAATTGTTAAAAGTATTTTAAGTAAAAAGGTAAAAGGTAAAGGCCCTCCCGTTGATCGTCGATTTGCTCGAGCGGGCCCAGTAACGTCTCCATTGGAGACTTGGTTGTTACTGTGTCTGGCATATCGAATACTCTCGGTAGCTTGCCGGGCTCTCCGAGAGGGGCGGAGGAATCGAACTCGGGTCGGCCATGTTGGCCGCTTGTAAGGCGAACGCCCTACCCGCTGTGCTATCGCTCCTATGACAAACACCAAGGAAGTATGAGCCTGAATCCTGATCTCTGGCATGGCGCTGCCCTGCTGAGCTGGAGCCTGCACTGTCAGACACACGCTGACAGAAAGCTGGGGATCCCCTTGACTCTTCTCGGGGTTCACGCTTCCCAGCACTTTGCTCAGAGGTCCATGAGTGCTGGAGATCCGACCTGGGCCTCCTGCATGCAAAACCCGGGGCTGCAACCCTCTGAGTGACTGCCTAGACTCTCCTCTGTAAGTCCTCTTCATAAGAAACAGCCTGGAGGGGCTCCCCTTGTTTCCTGGACTGTTTACTACAGGAGATAGGCCAGTGCTCAGGCTCATGCCAAGCATGAACCCAGCCTATGTCGATTCCAGACGCCACAGGATCCCCCCATTTTCATGAAGTGCAACCCTGGAAGCCAGTCCCCTCACTACTGCTGGGGTGGACCAAGTATCCCCAGTAACAAAGGACTTAGCAGTCTGGCGTCCCCAGGCCTTGCATTGAGACACCAGCCAGCTTGCTGACAGTCTATGTGAGGGGCACTGTCTGGCCTCCTGAAGCACCATTTGGGAGAAACCTCACCCAGAACCCTAAAATAAAAATCGTATTTCTCTGTCCCTTCTGTATTTTTTCAGTTGACTTCAAGGCCTTACTTATGTGGTAAAATATAACTGTATGCTAATTTAGTACGCTAAATGTATTTTACTGTACCAATGGTATTTTCTACAGAATGCAGATAAACTATAGGGAATAAGCACTGGAAATCCATATCTCTTAAAGACTTTTTTTTAAAAACCTATAACAGGAATGCACCAGATGATTTCAGATTTCTGGTACATTCCCATTGTAGGTTTAAAAAATATATATAAAAAGTTTAGATTTTTATCATTCTAAAAAATTCCTAAAATGACCAAACATAGAAATAAAAAAATCATCAAATATTGGATTTGAGAAAATACAGCAACAGTTTTACTCAGAAGTGAAGCATCAGTAAGATTTGTTTGGAAGCATTAATATCCATTTTATTTTTCCCAAGACACTTTAATATAGCCTATGCAAGTAGGTAATACACTGTATTTCTTTTCAGAAACCAAATTTCTCTATTTCTATTTGACTAAGCATTTTACACTTGTTTTACTTATTTTTTGGTATTAGGGTCACATCCAGCAGTGAGGACTCCTGGCAGTGCAGAGGTACCACATGTCAAGAAAGGGCACAACCTACTCTCTAGCCCCTAGGTAAAGGTAAAGGCCCTCCCGTTGATCGTCGATTTGCTCGAGCGGGCCCAGTAACGTCTCCATTGGAGACTTGGTTGTTACTGTGTCTGGCATATCGAATACTCTCGGTAGCTTGCCGGGCTCTCCGAGAGGGGCGGAGGAATCGAACTCGGGTCGGCCATGTTGGCCGCTTGTAAGGCGAACGCCCTACCCGCTGTGCTATCGCTCCAGCCCTAGCCCCAAGACATTTTTTTCTTTTTGGGTCACACTCGGCAATGCTCAGGGGTTACTCTGACTCTGCACTCAGGAATTACTCCCGGCGGTACTCAGGGGACCATATGGGATGCTGGGATTCAAACCCGGTTGGCCTTGTGCAAGGCAAATGCCCTACCCGCTGTGCTATCGCTCCAGCCCTTCTAGGCCCAAGACTTTTAATTTCTTGACTTCACCTAAGTGATCAGCTGAGAGTAGCAAACACCACTAGCTTCTCTTAACATTTCAAAAACTGTCTTTCTCACTGTTAGCTCATTCAGTATAACTTAATCCCCTGCATGATTATTCACACAACCTAAGTACAAGAACAGTAGTTGGTGCTTGGTAGGCACCAACTGTGTATATACTGACAGAATGAAGCGCTGAATCACAACTCACTTTTAATCAATAATCCCTTTAAAATGAGCCATTTACATTTTGATGGGTGACTAACTCTCCAACATACTAATAAAAAGTTACATGCAGAAGAGTTCTCTGTAAAGATACACAAAAAATAGTGTCACTTGGAAATAATATTTTTTTCTTTTTGGTCACACCCAGCAATGCTCAGGGGTTACTCCTGGCTGTGCACTCAGGAATTACTCCTGGTGGTGCTTGGGGAACCATATGGGATGCTGGGGATAGACCCGGGTCAGCCGCGCACAATGCAAACGCCCTACCCGCTGTACTATTGCCTCGGCCCTGAAATACTATTCTCTTCTGGTAGACCATCTTTGCAATCTAACTTACCTGTTTCCCCAAAAGGTCAACAGTATTTTATGTTCTTAGGCTTCACTCCGGCATATTCAGTGTTTAATGCAGTTATCACAATCTACAGTATCAGTAATCTCCCAATCCTGCTCTTTATGCTAAATTAGCAAATTCACTGCAGCATTAAATGGTACGGAAGAATGCATTAACATTTTTCTAACGTATTCCACAGGGTTTTTGTTTTGTTTTGTTTTATATAATACCTTTAAATGTAGGCAGTAACTAAGCTGCATTCTAGTATCTTCTATGTTGTGGTTCAATCAGGAACGTATTTTCTAAGTGATGTTTAAAATATCAGTTTATCTCAAACCAGTGCCATTTTAAGATATTATAGGTAGTTCAAGTTTGTAATTTCAGGCCACAATTCCTGACCTCCCAGCCAGTCTCCCAGTAGAAATATATAACTAAAATATTTAGAAAAACTGTCCAAACACAGTTCAATTTTATATAAAATATTTAATTTTTAAAACACAGGCTATTCATGTCACATAAATATCTTCAATTTTAGGTTAGCTGCTTACGGTCAGCAGAATTATCAAGAGTGACTATTAAGAATAACTTAAGATACTGTCACTTATAGGAAAGTCTAAAGTTCTAAGACTCACCAGATTAAAAGTTCAGATATTTGAATAATGTAGCTAATTTTGCTAAATTCCAAAATATTTTTTACTTCCTGCAATGTAGTTTAAGTTGTTAGTAATCAGTAATATTCAAATAAATGCAAAATAATTTTTTCTTCCATTCATTTTCCCAACAAAATTTTTATCAAAAAATTAAGTAGTCATCTGACATCAACTCATTTTATACCAGTAAAATGGTAAATTATCCACTTTAAAATATTCCTACTGTCACCAGACTACAGCGTTTCTTATCTACTGTTCTGAATTGAAGGCTTGCAAGTCAGACACTGGGCACAGGGTTAAAAAGTGCTGACTTTAAAACTGGAGCAACTTCTATTCTGTAACAGTTCCAATTAATATTTTAAAGAGAATATAAATTACCTGTAGAACAATTAAAATAAAATGGTTAATTGGCACACTCTCACTTCCAGATCATTTTTCCATTTAGTTATAATGGAAACACTGGTTATTCACCTTTGGTTCCTTTCTGTAATTATTTAACAACTGCATATGCCTGTGAGTACACATGAAGCTAGGCTTGACACTATTACAGCTTAAGTAACGGTCCACCATATTACTTTTAATAAAAATAATTAATGTTAAAATAAAGATGCTCTAAGTCTGACAGAAGTCATAATAAACATCAGAGAAGGTGAGAGGAGAGAAGATAACAGTTTCTCTTTTTGTTTCATCTAGGTAACGTTTTCTAGTTAACAAGTGAACAGCTGACCTTTTCTGTAAACGCAACTGCATGAGTTAAAATATGGTTCACCACCCCCGTAAACTTTAATAGACTTACACAAATTATGATTAACCTGTGCTTCTATGCTGCTGCCCTCCAATTCTCATGGCAAAGAAAATATGAATAAATGATCCTTTTTGAAATAAAGTAGTACTCTAAAATTCTCATTTAGCTACTTTCAACCATTTAAATGTCAAAATCTTTTAGAACTTCTCAGAAGTACCCAAGATACTCAAACTTAAGTTCTACTCGCTTCGTTTTCACTCCCAATCAACAGAAGGTGTTATGAAGCTAAAATAGCCCAAATACAGGAAGGATAGGATAAGTGTGACAGAAAACAGATAAAGGAATCTAGCCCCTAAGATCTTCCTGCCTTTTCAATATAATGAATTGATTCCCTTTACAAGACAAATGGGTGTATAAAGGTTAACTCCGTTTGCAGACCTTAAGCTTACCTGTTAAGGCACTTACTTACCCTTCCCACCCCACCCATATTTTTTAAAGTATAAAACCCACTATTTGATTTGAATGCATTTTGCTAGGCTATGATACTCTGCAAAATAAAACAAAATAACATTGACCATTTTTTTTTATAAAACTGTTGGATCAAGAGAAAGGTTGTGTTTTATTTTCTGAAATGAGCACAAAGTACACCTTTCACAATAACACTGAAAGCAGGTGCAAAGACTGACAGTGACCTTTGACTAAAGGTAGCTTTGTAAAAAGAAAAATACCAAATAAATCAGTGCCCTTTCTGATTGCTGTAAAACTGGAAGGAAGGAAGGGGTTGGTTGGTTGGTTGTTACATAAAAGTTGGTCCAAACTTACAAAAAAAGCACAAATGTGCATAGTTCAGAATATCTGCAAGAGGGTCATAAAAAGACTTTTATGTCCCTAAGATTAGCATCCACTTAAAACTGCAAGGATACAAAATAAAATTGTTAACTAGAATTTGTGAAGATGTACAATCAATAGATCTAGTTTTTAGAACAGCATGAATTTAAGCAAACTTTTTTTTGTCTTTTTTAAACTATTGTATGCAAGACCCTTTCCACATAAAAATAAAGCTGTTGTTGAATTAATATTATTCAAGTCTCTTGGATCGCCGCCTTAAATTGCAGCTAGAAAAGTCTTTCCAGATAAAAATGATGTGCCTGAGGAAAAACAGATACTCAGTATGGTAACCCTCTACCTCGACCTCTGCCAGCTGATGTGCTAATATGTCCCCTGTATGCCTGTGAATATCCAGGTCCTTGGGCAGAAGAAGTCCAGGTCTGTCCATGCATGAGGCCAGGGCCACCTGGGTTTTCCTGTAAGTTACCACCATAATTATAGTTGTGTATCTTTGCTGGCAAAGGATGAGTACTCTCTGGCCCGGCAGAAGGGTCACTATTTGCCAGGACTGCAATGGGGCCATGGCTATATTCAAATCTATGGTCCTTGTCTCCACTAAACAACATGGGAGCGGTATTGAGGTAAATGTCTCCATATGCAGCTACTGAATTGGGAAATGACTCGGAAAAGGCAGAAGGCTGAGGTGGACCACCAGAATGAGATGAAGTAGTACTGTAGTTATCCAAAGACTGAATATCAGAGTTTCCAAGGAAGCTACGTCGTTCCAATGGTGGAGCAGAGCTACCTCCTAGACCATCATTGCTAACGTAAGAAGCAGAAGAGAAAGAAGATCCAAAATTGTCCTTGTAATCTGCAGGGGGCACGTAAGTGTCTCCGGCTTGGTAATCAATACCCCCTTCTCTTTTGGGCTCCTCCTGGGGCTGATGCTGAGCGAGCAGCTGTAACAGGGCGGCTTTCACTCCAGCATGAGGGTCAGTTAATGAACTAGTGGTGGGGACATGCTGGTTCTCTGTCCGATAATCTAGATCTTCTTCAGTGACTGGTGGTGGTTCAGGTGGTTCAGGGGGTCGCTGATCAGGAGGCAGAATCCGAGGCCGCTCTGGTTCTGGTGTGAGCTCCAATATCCTCATATCTTGGTGCTGAACTAGTTCATCTTGCCCTAAGTGGGGAAGGGAGCAAAGGAGAGTCAAAAGTTATTGTGAAAAATGTTCAAAGAAAGTCTGTAGTTCCCATGGAGAGTCCTCTTATCAGAGATTCCATCGGGAGGGAGGGAGGGAGGGAGGAAGGGAGGGAAGGAAGGAAGGAAGGAAGGAAGGAAGGAAGGAAGGAAGGAAGGAAGGAAGGAAGGAAGGAAGGAAGGAAGGAGACAAAAATGGAAAAGTAACACTCAAGTCTACAGTGGCTAAAAACTCTTGTGTTCGATTTTACATTCATTACTGCTTAACAAAACCCCTGCAAATATAAAGCTTCTGACTTGAAGAAATATCCTGTTGTAGCTGGAAGAGATGATATTGTAATGATAGGAACACAAAAAATCTATCGCATTCACAGTGAATTGCAGCACAGATGTATAACAAGAGATCTGAAATTTTCAGAATTTTCATGATTTTCAGGACACCTAGCAATGCCACTGACTAACACAGTGATAGAGAACAATCAACAGAAAAAAAAAATGCAGTTAGAGATCTGTTGTTGCCCACTCACCCAATACAGGAGTGCTGGGTTCCGGAGGTGGCCGGAGCTGTAAGGATGCTTCATGTCCTGACCCATTTTCCCGCTCTTCTAGCAGTGCATCTTTCTGCTTTGACTGCTGAGCCTTTATTAACTGTGTCAACAGCACTGCAAACGCACTCTGCACAGCCGCCTGGGCAGCATCAGTCTCCACTTTAGGCTGGACGCTCTGAGAAGGCTGAATTCCGCCCAAGGCTTTCGAAGAATCCTGTTGTGGTGTTGATGAATCTGTCTGTTTTTCACCTGTTGCCAAAATTTCAGCAAGATGGTTTAATTTTATTTAGCTGCTCCGGAGTTTCAGAGTTTACCTTAATGTTCAATACTTGGACTAAATCAGCCCTATTAACACTTGTTTTAGATTGGAGTAGGGCTAAGAGAATAACCAATTCACTGTGGTTTCACTGCTGTCTGGGACCCGTTTTCACTAAAGACAAAATCTGTGTATTAATTAGAATTGCCATTAGTGACAGATCCCCTTCCCAATGGCTCTCTATTGCCCTCCTAAAAGGAACATCTGTAGGATAGCACTTAAGAAATTCTGTAAAAAGGGACTCTCAGGCTAACTCAATGTACTCATGCACATAGGAAAAGAATTGCAGTCCATTTTCAATAAATTATCTTTACAGATAAATACTTCTTTCAAAAGGAAAGAAGATTACAATTAGAATTTTATGACTTTAACCAGATTATTTCACCTGTCAATGAGAAACAGATGACGGTGCTTCCCTAAGCAATTTTTTGTTTGGTCTTTTGGGGACCACACCCAGTGCTCAAGACTTCCTTCTGGCTCTTTGATCAGGGTTCACTCTTGGCAGTGCTCAGAGCACCAATATGACATACTGGGAAACTGAATCTGAGTCAGCTGCCTGAGAAGTTAGAAGTTTTAATCCCTGTACTATATTTGCAGAGTTCTCTAACCTGCTAAACTGGTCTTCTGTTTGGTTTTGGTTTTTAGCCACAGCTTTCAATGCTCAAGGGTACTCAGAAATCAATGCACTGCACTCAGAATCACGGCACCCTGGTCCTGCATGGGGGGACTACCTGCTATACAATTGCTCTGGCTCCAGATTTTTTATCTTTTATTCTTCACAGCAATCTTATGAAGCATGCAATATTAGTAACCCTATTTTTCCAAAGTGAAGGAGCTAAGTACCTTTCCCATGTTCGCAGATTCAGTCAGTGGCAGTAGAGTTTTGAACCTTGGTGGTATGACTCCAAATCCTGAGCTCTCACTACTCAAAACATTGCTTATATAAATAGCATTTAATATCTAAGAACCAATCCTTATCTTTGCAGTAAATACTAGATCTGTAGACTCTGGTAAAATATTTTACTAATTTTGTAGACTTTAAAGAACGTATGTCTGGTTAAAAATTTACTCCTACAGAAATAGTTTATAATATATAATGCTAATAACAGCACCAGTGAAACAGCTTTACTTTTTTTCCCAGTTTTCAGTTTAGACTTCTATTCCTGTGCGAGCTTATCTGAATTAAATATAACAGGACTTCAACTGCATACAAAACTATGCGACTAAGCAATAATAGATTCTGAAAAGCAATTTCCATAACCACATATGGCAGACTAATAGGAGAAAAATTCCAAGATGATTTTAATACTGATGAAAACTGTTTAAATGATTAATACTTTGTTTTAATCAGCTATAATTAGGGATTACTCCTGATGGTGCTAGAGATCAAGCCCAGGTCAGTAGTGTGCATTGCATGGAAAGTGCTTTACCTGCTGTACTATCTCTCAAGCCCTTTGATTAATACTTTCGGTTTCGTTTGAGGAGTAGGGGGTGGGGCAGTAGAGCCCGGAACTTCTCCTGGCTTAAGTGCTCAAGATAGTTCTTGAGGTGCTCAAGACCATGTGGTGCCAGAGATCAAACCAAGGTCTTCTTCATGTAAAACATATTAAGTTAGCTCCCCATATTCATGCTTTTTATGTTTTCTATCTAGTTTTGAAAAGTCAAGTACTTCTTGACTCTTTTTTGTTTGTTCTGGTTTAGGGGCTACACCTAGCCATGCTCAGGGCTAACTCCTGGTTCTCCATTCATGAATCACTCCTGGTGAGGTTTGGAGTTCCAGGAATCAAACCAAGGTTGGCCATGTGCAAGGCAAGTGCCCTGTCTGCTGTCCTATCTCTCTAGCCCCCATCTTCTGATTTCTTAGTAGTGATATTTAAAATACATAAAGGAAAGCAAAGATGAAAATAAAACTCTCCTCCACTGAGCTGTTAAATATGTTAGAAGAAACTATATGATGAAATCCAAAAGGGCAATTAAAATTTAGTATTTGTTAATATTTTGTTAATATTTGTTAACACTGCCATGGCAAATCTTTTGCAGTAATGTATATTACATGTAACAAATGAAAACAGAAAATTGGTTGCTTTTTCTTCTGCCTTTCTACAAAGTTTTGCATACCTTTTACATGACAAAAACATTAAACCTGACATTGCCTCACGTATACAGCAAATGAGTTTTCCAAATTTACACACATCAATCTTTGTATGACTAGAAGGAATTCACTCTACAGGGTTTCTAAAGAAAACTTTTGAGAACAAAAATTTTTTGTTTAGAAAGTTCCATTACGCAGGACCAGGAAACTAATTCAAACAGTAGAGCGTGCCCTGGCATGGACAAGGCCCTGACAGTTTAACATCCAGCAGCGCACAGCCCCACAAGACAATGATGGACAATGCTGGAAGCCTCCTGAGCACTGTGCCAGCAGGTTGAAAATCACTCAGAGTGGCATCCATGAATGCGCCCATCCCCTCCCAGCAATAGTGGCCCCTAATTAAAAAAAAAAAATCAAAGAGATAGTATAACAGATAGGGCACTTGTCTTGCATGCAGTGAACCCAGGTTCAATCCTCAGCACCCCACACGGTTGCCTGAATCCCACCAAGAGTGATCACTAAATACGGCTGGTGTGGAGAAAAAAAAAATCAAAGTAACATATACCATAATTTAGTCTGATCAAAGATCAAGAATGAATTTGCAGATTCCATAGAAAAGCATTAATAGTAATTTTTCTCAAGCTTTCTCAGCTTAATACTATGTTCAACATCTCTAACTAATCCACTAATCTTGTTTTAGTCAGTATTTACTCCTCTCCTAAGTGAGTTTACTTTTTATGCTCAGTAAAATATTACTCCACATATACATAAATTTCAAATCAGTTTCATCATAAAGAGATTAAAATTGAATATTTTTTGAATTGCTGAAGGAAAATAGTGATTTGAAAAGGCACTGTAGCACTGTCCTCCTGTTGTTCATCCATTTGCTTGAGCGGGCACCAGTAACGTCTCCATTGTGAGACTTGTCGTTACTGTTTTTGGCATATTGAATACACCACGGGGAGTTTGCCAGGCTCTGCCGTGTAGGTGAGATACTCTCGATAGCTTGCCGGTCTCTCTGAGAGGGACAGAGGAATCGAACCCAGGTTGGCCACATGCAAGGCAAACACCCTACTCAATGTGCTATCTCGCCAGCCCACTGATTTGAAAATATGAAAATAAATTCCATTTAAAACAAACCTTACTTAACTAAATGAAGGAATGAGTCAACACTTCTGACAACACTGAAAAGTTGTTTTCTTGTAAAAATGCTTTGACTTAGTTTTTCATAAACAAGTAACAAATCGAGTCAGAGGAAGAATTGTGTCCCTCCCCTTGCACAGTGGGTAAGGTATTTGTCTTACATGCGGCCAACCTGGGTTCCATTCCTCCGCCCCTCTCGGAGAGCCCAGCAAGCTACCGAGAGTTATCTCACCAACATGGCAAAGCCTGGCAAGCTCCCCATGACGTATTCGAATGCCAAAAATAGTAACAAGTCTCACAATTTGTTGTGAGACATTACTGGTGCCTGCTCGAGCAAATCGATGAACAATGGGATGACAGTGTTACCTACAGCGCCACAATATTTCAAGTAATTTTTGGCACAATATCTTTGTTCCAATCTTTGAGATTTCATAACAAGATAGCAATCAAGTTATGAGTGATCTAAGAATTTTACAAGCAGTATGAAAAAGCTCCAACTACAATTTTGGTCATCTTTCCTATTGCTTTCTTTTTATTCCTTAAGCACCCACAGATACTGAATGCTGATTCTCACTGAGAACAGTGTTAGTAAAAGCTCTAAATCTTGCTTTAGAGAAAAAGGAAACAGTAAAAGTCCAGTAAAGCCTATTAGATTTTGATGTGTTTTTTAAGTTATCTTAAGATTGCACAAAACTATTATAGTAGAGGCTGGAGCGACAGCACAATGGGCTGTCTGCCTTGCATGCGGCCAACCCGGGTTCGATTACCAGCATTCCATATAGTCCCCAAGCACCATCAGGAGTAATTCCTCAGTGCATGAGCCAGGAGTAACTCCTGTGCAACACCATATGTGACGCAAAAAGAAAAAAAAACCCTATTATAGTAGCGTCTTTTACTAACATTATCTCAGTGAAACTCTACAATCAGTATCTGCAGTTGTTTAAGGAATAAGCGACAGCATTAGATCTGTACTGACACAAGCAAATACTAGGAAATATCAAGGTCAGTGGATAGAACCGTTCATCTTTTATCCACAATATGCTCTTAACCTAAGAAATAACATAACACTAGGCACAAACAATGGGAAGGAAGGGAGAAATGAAGAATGACTGACCAGGTCCTACATTGGAGCTTCCCTGAGACTTCAGCTGTGAAGACTGCAGCACGCCCTGAGGTGTGTTGGTCCTGCTGTCATCCAAGCCCAGAGACAAGTCCTTTCTGGGAGCTTTAATTGTGGAAACATCATCAGTCATGCCCATCTGCTTCTGTCTTCTTCGCTTTTTGCTCCATAATTCATGACAATCTTGCCATAAAGGCAGGCTAGAGGGAAAAGCATTGAGTATAGGTGAATTGCATTTCATAACAACAGAAAAAATAATATTTATTATACAGGACCAAAGTTGCCACCCATTCCCCTGAAAGTTGCTCTTGAAGGCCTCATACATAGGCTTTGTAAACGCCATTAAAAAGCATCCTTGATGCCCACCATACTTCAGGGCTTCACCTTTATAGGCAGACTATTTTTCTGTAGTTTCTGAATAATCAAAAAATAATCATTTATTAAAACTATAACGAATGTTTTTAATAAAAGCAGGTAACTATTACCCATGGTACAATCTTTAAATCTAATTCTTCTCACAGAACATTGAATAGGGTTTTTAAAAGGAAGTCAAGTATGTCATTTTGCAAGTTATAGGACTAAATATAAATATAAATATAGTAAAGGCAAGAATATAACACCAATGAAAAACTTTTTGTTCTGTTATTACCATTACATATGTGGAAAAACTTTTTACTTTTAATACCCTTTTATTTGATTCTATAATCGAATGCTATGGAATTAAACTGATACTACAAAGGAGTTTCAAAAATAGGCAATCCAGGTTCATTCAGTAATTAATAGTTCTAAAAACTTATCAACTATCAAAATTATCCACAATTTTGAAACAATCTGGCTTCAATGTAATTTTACAAAATTGACATACTGCAAATAACTTTTGCTTAAAGACATAAGTACTTGATCTTATGCTAATGAGTTTTCTTATGCTAATAAAAGCTTCAGTGGTAAATTACTCTTGTATTCCACTTTAAAGATAAGAAAATTGAGGCTTGGAAAGGTTAATAAACTTGCCCAGAATATCTACAAATTCCCTGAAGGAGCCCCAACCTGGTGAGAAACCTGTAGTCCTCAACCTGGATATGTTTACCTCTAGAAGTACCAGGGAATATACCTGGGATTGTTTCAAAGGAATTTCTGTTATATGTTATCTTTCCTAAAATTCACCTTTGAGAATGCCTTCACATTCCACAAGTCCTTTCAAACATTCTGTTTCACATTTACTCTTATCTCATGTTATCAAGGCATATGCAATAATATGGTCAAATCTTAGCAATATAATATCAGTCAAAAAGGTCATTTCCAGAGATTACAAACAGCATGACACCCTCTTATAAAATTAAAAACTAAAATTTTAAAATATAACTTTTATGAGTACATATAGATGGCAACAAAAAGTATATACAAAAGAAAACAGGGATGATGATGATAACTATCTCAGGTGGAGGGAGGCAAGAGATGGTTGTGGGGGAAGGGAGGGAGGCATGATAGGATTCAAGTAGGTCATTTCCAAGGTCTAGCTTTACTTTGGTAGCTTCATGGCTGCTTATTAACATTACTTAAAATAACTAAGTAACTTAAAAAAAAAAAAAAAGAGAGCCATGCATGGTGGACCAATGATGAGTGACACAAGGATTATGATTAAACCAAGTCTATGCACCTGAGGTCCAAAAACAAAACAAAGGCATACCTCTCAGCCATCTTACTATGGTGCATTGCCTCAGCGTGTAAAAACCTCCTGGAGTAACAAACAAAGGGACAATTTGAAATATTGATACTGGGAAGCTTTAAGGCATTATAAACCCGCCAAAGACTTTCCTCTGTGTGTATGTGTTTTATGATGTGACTTAATCTGTTTTAATATCCTGAATTCAGATACTCTGCAGTACTATAGATTAGGGTTACTAGAACGATTTTACTTCTTCCATTCTGATGTTCAGAGAATGAATTTAATTTTGTGAGGGAGTTGCATGAGAATAAAATGGAAAAAATCCACTAAAAACAGATCTTGGTTCTCTCCCACAACTTTGAAGAGATAGTTAATGGACTAAGTGGATGATCAAAACACTCATCCCTGGAACAGATAAACATTACTCAACAAAGAATTTTTAAAAAGTGTATGCTAATGACTAGTGATGCAGACTCTTAGATGTACCAGGAATAGTTACCAGGAGGACCAAATTTTTAAGTGCTTTTCTGAAGGTTCAAATTCCGGCTCAGCCACTTAGTCTCATCAGGCAAGCAACTTGACCTCTGTGCCTCAGTTTCTTTATCTTTAAATATGGAATTAATCAACACAATCTGCCCTCGTATTACAGGTAATACATACTAGCAGATGTAAGTGCTGGATGGTCTCTCACAAAGTAGAAAATATATTCACATTCGATCATTATTAATTTATAAATTGTTGACCTTTTTATACTTGCCATTTAGAGACAATAAAATTACAGGTCATCTACAAATCTAATTCACTTTTTAGCAATTTATACTTTTCATTAAATATATCAGAAATGTTTGACAGATAATATATGCAATTAGTGGAGTTATTCTGAATTTTTAAAAAAATTTCGGGCCACACCCAGGGCTCTGTGCTTAACCCCCCCTAATTTTTTTCTACCCTACTTCCATCTGATTATTTAAAAGCTTCATCACAAGAAATTAATACAGCCCCTACCTCATAATTTAACTACCTAGTACATATAAAATGTCATATAATCTATAAACTAATAATTATACAACCAATATTTTAATTTGGGGCTGAAGCAATAATACAGCAGGTAGGGCGTTTGCTTTGCACAGGACTGACCCAGGTTCAATCCCCAGCATCCCAAATGGTCCTCTGAGCACCTTCAGGAGAAATTCCTGGGTGCAGAGCCAGGAGTAACCCCTGAGCATTGCCGTGTGACCCAAAAAAACTAAAAAATAAAACACCCAAGGCTGGAGAGATAGCACAGCGGGTAGGGCATTTGCCTTGCACGCGGCCAACCCGGGTTCGATTCCCAGCATCCCATATGGTCCCCTGAGCACCACCAGGAGTAAGTCCTGAGTACAGAGCCAGGCGTAACCCCTGTGCGTTGCCGGGTATGACCCAAAAAGAAAAAAAAACACCCAAACAAAAAATATTTTAATTCAACCTGTCTGCATTCATAATACCTAACAAGATCTACTGCTTAATTATTAGTTTACAGACTATTCACTAAACTGCCTCTTAACATGCCAAGTTACTTATGCCCCCTGCATGGGGATCAAGCAGAGATTAAACCTACATGGCATGCCCTCTAGGTCTAAGCTACATCCTTACATGTCTTTTTTTTTTTAAGTAGAAAAATATAGTCACTCAAATTCTGATAAAACTCAATCAACTTTAGGTGAACTATAAGACAACATGGACAGTGTTTCTAATTAGGTTAAGTGGCAAAATTTTCTATTAGAAAATTAAATGAAATATATTTAGTTTTCAAATTTTTGACAAAAGTTACATTTTAAAAATGTAATAAACATGGGGCTGGAGTGATAGTACAGTGGGCAGGGCCTTGCACGAAGCCCACCTGGGATCAATCCTCAGCATCCCATGTGGTCCCCTGAGCACCACCAAGAGTAAATCCTGAATGCAGGGCCAGGATTAAGCCCTGAGCATTGCCAGTATGGCCCAAAAAGCCAAAAAAAAAAAGTAATAAACACAATTCAACAAATAGATTGGTAAATCAACACTGAAACTACATACTGAATTCCTAACTTATTCTAAGCATATTTGGATTAAAAAGTGCTATTAGAAGTCAACAAGTATAAGAATAAATTATTTAATAGGTAGGCAAAATTAATTTGGTTTATTTACTTTTTCAAAATCTGAACAAGTATATGATTTAGGCCAGATAAGGAACATGGATTTTTAATTCTATACTGTGAAGAAAATTAGAGTCAGAGAGGTAGTACAAGACATAGGTCTTGCGTGTATCTGAGCCCACTTCAATGCCAGCAGCATACATATTTCCAAGAACACCACCAGGGGTGACTCCTTAGCACAGAGCCAAGAATAACCCCCGAGTACCACCAGGTGTAGACCCCTCCACTGAAAAGAAAAGTAGAAAGAATTTTATGTAGATAAGGTAACTGAAATGATTTTTGATGAGATCACTGTTATTTTTGGTAAAGAATGTTAATGGAGTTTTTAAAAACCTCAATGATTCGACCCATGGGGTGACCAAAAGTCTTGTATTCTCAAACATTTGCTCACAAGGGTACTCATAAATACCGAAAATTAAAATATCTAGGGGACAGAGAAATAATGCAGTGGACAGGGCACTTGCTTTGCACATGAGAGATTCAGGTTCAATCCTAAACCCCCCGTATAGTCCCCCAAGCACCACTAGGAGTGATTCCTCAGCAGAGAGCCAGTAGCACTGTTTGGCATAGACGCCCCCCAACCCCCAAAATAACAATCAAGTTGTCTAAAATGTTTCATTCTATAATTAATAATATTATAACTATCATGTATATATTACTTGCATGGGGAGGAGCCCTTAGCCCTTTATTTACAACAGAAATAATTTTCTTCATTTTTTAAAAAATATCTACTATAAGGGCCAGGTTCAATCCCTGGCATCCTATATGGTCCCCTGAGCACCACCAAGAGTAACCCCTGAGTATTGCCAGATGTGACCCAAAAAGCAAAAAAACAAACAAACAAAAAAAAAACCTACTGTAACTACTAACAATCTAACCAAGATCTTGCCAGTGAGACTAAACTTTATTTTGAAGGGCCTCCCCAGTGGTACTTGCACTCTGGGCAACACTGCTGGTGATGTGGGGCTGGGATTCATCAGAACCACACTGATGGTTTTTAGCGTCTGAACAATCAAAGCAGATGCTCTGAATGATTTCTTCACTGGGGCTTCAGGAGTACTAAGACCACACCTAGCAGTGCTCAGGGGACCATACAGAGTGTCAGGGGTCAAACCCAACTTGGCAATGTTCAAGGTACATGCCCCACACATTGTACTCTCACTTGGGCCCCCTAGATTCAGACTCAAGGAGTGAAGTGACAGTACAGGGATTCTGGCTAGACCCCCAGCAGGTGATGGCACTCACCACTGTTGTCAACCATGGCCTATCGGTTCGTGAACAGCCTGACTCTATGAGTATCACTGCAGTGGCCTCCTGACTGCTTAAAGGTTCTCCAACAATTAAAAAAAAAGTTTAAAAGATATTATTTACCTAAATGAGAAAACTAAATAAAGATACGTGCTACTGTAATGTTAAATATCTTATGCTTTATAATGGCTAAGCAGTGATAAACAATCATGTTCTACTTAAAAGGTGAATTACTGATAAATGAAGTGTCACTTCAACCATACAGTTCAGACAAAAAACTTTACAGAGTGATAATGCAAAGTGATAAATGTTAAAATATTAATAATGCTGAATCTAGATGAATGCTCTTTATACTTCATTTCCTATTTTTTGCTTGGTTAGAATATTTCCAAATTAAATACTGAAGCAAAAAGAAAAAAGTTATGAAACAATTCAGCTACGAATAATTCAGGTCCTTCAGTATATCAGAAGACATTCAAATAATCCTACAAAGACTATTCACATATAGTCCAGTTAAAACTTAATGAAGTGAGATATGATAATGCCACAGAAATACAAGCCCAATCTAAGCAGTAAGTGGAAAAGCCAGGATTTGAAAGCCTAAGGTAGTGTTCATTCATAACATGGTTATTATAGTACAAGCATTTTTATTATTATTAGAGGTAGGCTTAGCTTTATTATATTCATTATTTTAAAACTTTGCAAACCCTTAAAGATTCTAAATCTTATAGGAAGAGAAATGGATGCTTTGTTCATTCCCCTGCCCCACTTTGGCCCAAATCAACCCTTAGAGATTGACCACAGGAGCCATAAAGAGTGATGGTTTAAGAATACAAATTTTTAAACAATTTTCTTCCCATCAGACAACACACTCACATTCTAAAAAGACTTTTGATATTTTAATGAAATATAAGGCAATTTCCATTATACTAAAGAGCATTTCAAAACTTCTTATTGTATTAAACTGAATTTGAAAGTTGTTGCCTCCACCCTGTACTAGGTTCGTATTCTTGGGCAAGTTTCTTAACCTCTCTAGGCCTGCTTTGTCCTCTGGAAAATGGTGATAATGATGATAGTAATGGCAATACCCACCTGATAGGATTATAGATATTAAAATAATGTAAGAAAAAGGCTTACATTATAACTCAAAATTTTAGCTATTGTAATTTGTAATAGTACTAGTATAAGCAGTTACACAGTCGCAAATAGAGCAGGAAAAGCAAAGGAATATTTTCTCAGAATTAAAATATACTCCTCCCTGAATCAGCAAGAAGCCTGCTTTTCTAGTCCTATGATCAATATTAATCAAGGCTCCACATTCTTCTTGTGCAAATTATGTGTAATGTTGCCATTCTATTTCTTGGAATTATTCTATTTGGTGGCTTGATTAATACTGGAATAGCATCTGCCTATTACATACATAGAAGTTATTAACTGTCCACTTTCTGCATATATAGGCTCTAATATTAACAAAAAAAGTCACTTACTCTGGTGGAGGCATCTTTGAAGGTTCCACATCTCGCAGGAACTCACACTGAAGAGCCTGTTCGGCAGTACAGCGCTTACTAGGGTCCAAGGCGAGCATGTAATCAAATAAGTCTAGTGCAGCTGCAGGAATACTGGCACAGAGGATTATAAAAGTCATATATATTCAGTGATAAAAGGTGAATGTTAAGAGCTTATTTCAAATGCTAGCATTATAAAATGTATTACTCAAACTTCTTTTGAATACTTATTTTTTTGCAATTTTGTAACCATTAATTTGAAGTTTGTGAAACAAGTATATTTTATTACTCCAGAGGCAATTTGCTACCTCCAGAATTTAACTTTTTAATTAAAAAAAAAAATAAAGCTAAGAATAATCTCCCACCCCATAATACAAGCCACAAGTAATTTGAAAACTGTTACTTTAAAATATAAGATAGACTTATTAAAATTCTTTCATCAGAGGATCAAATCACTAATCACTAATCAAATCACTAATAAGCTAGTGAAATGGCAATTTCCATTTAACATTGGGAAATTAAAAACTGCAGAAGAATTAAAATAGGTCTCCCTTGAGTTAATAAGGATAGAGATTTAGAATTCAGAAGAAATAAAAAGAAAAGCATTCAATGTGACATGGATGTTTAAGTTTCCCCTTCTTACAAAACAAATTCTTCTCTTAACTTTCGACGATATTGCTTCTTTGGTTTCATGGTGTTGAAATATGGTAGTTTGATTACATCAGGCCACACTGCAGGACAGGGGCTCCCACAAATACGGCTAAACAGCACACAGAAGTAAATGGAGCAATAGAAATTATTTAGAAAAACAGTATATACAAATACTATAGAAAACAACTTATTTTTAAATACACAAAAGCTGAAGTCTAATAAACAATATCAGAAGTTCCATTAAGTGTCTGTAACCCTAACTTGCCAAAGGTCATGAAATTGTTTTCAGTGAATTCTTCTGAAACAATCCAAGGATTTTGGTTTGTGTCTGCAAAATCAAAACTTAAAATGCCAACATTAAAAATGTTTACCTATTTGAACCAAAATTTATAAACATATGCACTAAATTAATAAACAAGAATTTAGCAGAAGTTACCAAACTTAATTAGCTTGTTGACACCCCCTTTTCAAAGAATAATGAGCACAACACCCTGCCCTCCCCCATTATTTTTCTTCTTTGAGGCAAACAAACTGAAAGTGCCCCCACAATTACACCCAAGGCTATTGTTGGTCCCTTAGGGGCAGCATGGCCTGCTTTGAGAAACTATTTTAATATAGACCTTTTTCTGATTGTACAGTAGGACTGCTATCTCTCAGCCTGCTCGAGCAAATCATGAGCAATGGGAGGACAGTGCTACAGTGCAGTGCTAACTGTTGCAATGTAGCACTGTCCTCCCACTGTTCATCAATTTGCTGGAGCGTGCACCAGTAATGTCTCACAACAAATTGTGAGACTTGCTGCTACTGTTTTTGGCGTATTGAATACATCAAGGTAGCTTGCCAGGCTCTGCCCTGTGGGCAGGATATTCTCGGGCGGGTAGCTTGCCAGGCTCTCGGAGAGGGGCGACGGAATCGAACCCAGATTGGCCGTGGGTAAGCAAAAGGCTTACCCACTGTGCTATTGCTCCAGCTCGATTGTACAGTAACAGTCAGTATACTACCTCCACAAGAACATAAGGATGCCTGCAACTCAGCAGAAACATTTCTTACACAGGACTGTAACAACTACAAAAACTGCTGCTTCCCAGATGAATCAAAATGCTGCTAAATTAACAAAAGGACATTAAAAGTAACATTCATAAAATATAATGTACTTAATTTTAGGAGTGCCAATAATTTCAAAGCATTTAAATTTTCTAGTTGTTTTACTCCTCGCTGCTTATCACTCCTGAAAACTCATTTTTATGTTTTAAAGTTTTTTAATGGCAGCTTGTAGAAGAAATGGTTAAACAGTAACTAGCTGATATTTACAAATGATTTAGTAGTATGTCAGTGAAAACTGGTAAAAGATACTGAATATATGAAATCTCAAAGATCAATGTAGTGATATAGTTATTTCAACCCTCTCATACTGTTTGTATTTTAGACACGTATGCCTATCTGTTTCTTTTATTGAATTATAGTTCAGAAATCATGCTCCTCACATCTGCATACATCATCAACTATATACACAAATGTAAACAGACTGATAATGAAAATACTGGAATTAAAAAATGAAGAATACCTTTAACTGTAGAAATGTAAGAAAACAAAGTTAGAGAAAGGTAAAGAATGTAGGCTATAATTCCATGGATAAATACTAGAGAAAGGGAGTGACGTTACTGGCAGCAAGAATAAAGGCAAAGGCATTTAGGTATAAAAATATAAACATTTGGGAGGAAGAATGGGTATAGTTGGAATTTAGGGTTCTGCGAAGTTTGATCAAAAGATTATACTGGGTTCACACAAGAGATGGTGTGGAAACTTTAGATCTGAATCCTCTCTGTAATATTTATCAATATGCTTTGCTTAAGAACATGTTTCTTGCGGTCAAAGAGACAGTGCAGTATAAGGGCTAAGGCCCTTCTTTGCATTACACATTGTCTACCCCAAAATGATCCCCAGCACAACATGAGGCTCCCTGGGAACAGAGCGAGGAAGCCCTGAGCAGAGCTGAATGTGGTGCAAAACCCAAAAATAAAAATTTAATTTCATTAAAATAAGTTTGCCTTTGTATGAAAAGTTTGTCTACCCACGAGATGGAGGATTAAATGAGAAATCCTCTGACTCCAAAAATCTTTACATTACCTTCTGAAGAGTTCAAATTATTTCATGTGCTGTGATCTAACTGGGCCAATACCAAAAACTAAGGAAACAGACATGACTGTAAAGAGTAACTGCAACCCAGCGAAACACCCGTCTGCCAGTTAGCCAGCTATCCTACAATCTTTACTGAAGACTATCCTAAAATACACATATACAAAATTCAAAACATGAGGTCTATACTAAGAACCTACTCTATGGATTTAGCTCTTCCGGTGGCAATGGAATACAGTAGATATGTCCTTTTTTATAAGGCTGATATGGATGACAAATACGTTGCAGATATAGTATCCTTGTACTCCAGAGAGAATTTAATTAGGATTCAACTCCAAATATATAGATTGATTTTGAAGGGACTGCTTGATATTTCTACTCCAGAAATATTCCGTGTTTGTATTCAATTTACATATATTAGTTCTTGTATTTTGTAGCTTTTCAAATGTGTTCTTTGCATAATTATATTTTGAGAAGGAACTAGGGAAAGTTTGTTTTATGCAAGGTTCAAGAAGTCAGGGAGAAAGTTCAAAGATAAAAATCCAATGCTGGGGGCCAGGGTTCATCAACAAGCCAGAGGAAAACCTACAACAAGTCAGAAGTATACCCTGAGCACTGCCAGGATGGCTCAAACTCACCCTCACTTTACACCACTCAAGAAGTTTCAAAGTTTGGCATTAAAAAGAATTCAGGCAGTCATCTGAGTTCCTATGGTTTCTAGCTATTTTTATAGTTCCCACTGGGTGTCCAAGTTTATAATACTTCTAACAATCAGAATTTATCTGTATTTTTTGCAAACATGAATCTTCGTTAATTATGTTATGTTACAATTTAAAAATAAGGTTAAAAGAATAATGCTACACACTATAGGGAAGTTTTTAAATTTTGTTTTAATGGGAGTACTTTCATTATTTTCACTGGGAAATGCTCCTCTACTCAAGAAGTGAGACCTGCTTCTACACACTAATTCCACTGATAATGAGTAACTACATTAACAAGTAGAAGATAGTACTGCAATAAAATAATTTATTACTTTATTAAGCCAAGTAACACCACTTGGGCTTAATTATACTATTATAGTCCTCATTAGGTTCTTCAGGGTGTGAAAGGCTAATGACATTACCACAGTATGTGCCTTTTTTTAATATGGAGATTTTGCACTGGCAGTACAAAGTCAACAATGGGACTACAAATATAGCATGACTGAGGCATGAGTACCAAACTATGAGACTATCAGCATTAAGTATTCTTCACTCCCACACAAAACAGTGGAGGGAGACTGAGTATATACAGTTTCAATTATTAACATCATAGAACAGTAGCTATAGTACAGCAGGGAGGCCACTTGTCTTGCACGCAGCCAACACAAGTTTGATCCTGGCATCCTATATGGTCCCTGGAGCCGAGAATGACCCAAGCACAGAGCCAGGAATGAATCCTGAGCACCACCGGGTGTGACACCCCCCTCACCCCCCCAAAAAATGCAACCCAAACCCCAAATATCAATTATTAGCATCCTTGCTAGAGTAGTAAACATGATTGTTATTGAATCTTAACATCTGAATATCCACCTTTTTAATGTTATTAATATTTAATCAAAGGTTAGAAAATATTCAGAGCTGCATGACAGAAGTGCAATAGTCAACTTGCAAAACACTTGCAGAATGATTCTGTGACAAGTGACAAGGTGAAATAGCTGCTTTTTTCCAAGAACACAATTTTTACCTTCAAGAATATGTAAAGATAAAAAAAAAAGGAATAAGTAAAGTTATTCAATCCTGGAAAATTACACATTTTCTTAAATATGAACCATAAGTTTATTACTGCAGGGAAAACAACTCAAAATATATTGGCAATTATAAAATTTTACCTTCCAAAAGAATGTGAGAATACTAGAAAAACATACCTAATACTATAAATCTGACGGCACACAACAAAAATTTTGGGAATTTTCTGATGAAATTAGTTTGAAAACCATTGTAAATGCCACAAAAAAAATCACAACTGGTAAAAGATCGATCTTAACATATTAAGAGTACTAAATATTTCTTCATGTGTTTGAGTTTACACATCACAAGGCATCTATAAAAATCTACCACTATGTAGTTTTAAAGAAGAATGTGCACTATTTTTCTAGAAATCTATTGAAACACATAACAGAAATGAGGCTCCAGATGTTAAGACAGATATTAAAAGGTTATAAAAATGTAAACAATGCCACTCTTTTCACCAAAATTTCTTTGTGGAAGAAATATAATTATTGTCAAGTTCTAATATTAATTATTGAGTTATAAGAAATCCTGAAATATAAGTGCTTAGTTCAAAAAATTCTTTACAAAAAAGGCACAAGTATATAGAATTTTGATGCTATTATTAGTGAAGGCATATCTGCTTTTTACAAAAAACAAATATGAACTTTCCTTCTTTTGCTATATTCTGAAATAACCAAAGTTTAAGCCTTTAATGCCTTTAGAATATCCTGGATAAATCGCCAGTATCACAGGGGGTTGCCCAAACATATTTTTAAAAATAATTTTTTCTCACCAAAATTATTATCCAGGATGTAGACATAAGGCTTGATGCAAGAGGCATGTGGAAAAAGAGAACTAAACATAGAGGCAGGAACCTTTGCATTCCAATGTCTCGATTTTAAAGAGGCTTCCTAAGCAAGTACAGGGAACTTGAGGCCACTCCTGGTGACAGATAACAATGGTAGCTAAATGTTTGATGCTACCTATGCTTCAAGGATCCAGAGGGAATTTTCTGGATGAAATTAGTTTGAAAACCATTGTAAATGCCACAAAAAAATCACGACTGGTAAAAGATCGATCTTAACATATTAAGAGTACTAAATATTTCTTCATGTGTTTGAGTTTACACATCACAAGGCACACTAGCCAGTGCTGCTGTGGGCTAACTCCCAGACTTCGGAGGAGTGTGGGTTGGGAGACTGAGGGCAGGGGTTCCAACTTGCTCCAGCACATTACCTCTTAAGTATCACTCCAGACCACAAATCAGCTATTAATTGTATTTAGAAATTCCATGATTTTAAGTGGTTTTTATTTTATAAGCAATATATAATGTGTGACATAAAGCCTGTTAAGCTGAGTGGTATGTTTAAAGTTACAAATGTGACTCATATATAGAACATTTTTGTTTTCATGCATCCTGTCTATCCCCATGTATTTTATACTTTTTTTTGCCATCACTTTTTAACCCATGCCACTTCTATTTACAAAAATGTGCTTTAAAAAAAAATGTACAAAAATGTTTATAATGTGCTTAATTACTTATTGAAACATGGCAAAGCAATAACCTAATCACTGTAACACTATTTAAGATTCTAGCTAATATCCACTCTCTTAATTAAGTTACAAATTATCTGTAATTTTTGTACACTAGATATCATCATTCTTAAGGATTTTTTTTTCTTTTTTGGGGTCACACCCATCAATGCATAGGGGTTACTCCTGGCTCTGCATTCAGGAATAACTCCTGGCGGTGCTTAGGGGGACCATATGAGATGCTGGAAATCGAACCTGGGTAAGCCGCGTGCAAGGAAAATGCCCTTTCCACTGTGCTATTGCTCCAGCCCCTCTAAGGATTTTGATTGGGAAAACTTCCCAGACTACTGTACATAAAATTGATGTGAAGTATGTTCATTCTAAATGTATTATTAATCCTCTTTAACTAGTAAGGAAAAAAAAGGGTATTATAGAACTTTCATTAAGTCACAAGAGCAAAAAATAACTAAGCTCACATTAAAAGAGAACACAGGTTATGTTAGGACTGTATAACATTTTAACATTCAAATGATGGGGGTATTTTTGTTGTTGTTGGTTCTTTTTAATGAAACTTCCTTTTATCCCTCCACATTTAGAAACTGTGGTAGGAAGATAGCTCCAAGGGCGAGCACACATTTTACATGCAAGAAGACTAGTTTGATCCCTGCCACTCCCGAGTTGAAAGGAGTTCCCTGAGCACTGACTGCTGGGTGAAATCCAAAAACTCAAAGAATGGTTTTAAATTAATGCTTTGAATATCAAATGAAGCAGAGCTGTTTATTTATATGTAGAGGGGTGGGGGTCTCAAATTAAGTTGGAGCTCTGGGATTATTCCTGGTGATACTCAGGGAATCGAACAAAGCCAGCAATCAATTTTGGGATGGTGGTAAGCAAGGTTAAAGTACCGCCCCTCTTTGGTCCAGTTATTTGAGGTGGGAGAGATAATTTGGGGCACACAGGGCACGGTCAGAGGTTACTCCCCATTCTGTATTCAAGCAGGCTTGGTGTACGGGGTATCAGGGATCTAATCCAGGTCGGCTGTGTGCACAGCCCGACCCACTGCTCCAGCCCATCTGGTTCAGTTTTTTATATTTTTTATAAATGTTACTGTGACTGCAACTAAATAAAAACAAACATTTGACTAAGCAAATCAAGACTCTGATGTTTGCTTTGCTAAAATAAAATCAACCCAGTATTATCTAAAATTGTTCTTTTCTGTGATTTTGTACCTTTCCCATATCATCAGTTTCAGATCTACCATTTCTTCTTTAAAAACTAGTATGATTTCATCATTTCATTACTCAAACCTCATTATTACTTTTTTTAACAATGTTAACTTGTTAGACGTCTAAAACATGCTGAAATAATGCTAACAGAAGAAAACTTTGCCTTATTATCTCTATTATTTCACCACTAAATATTATTCAAAGAGCTATAACACATTTATTCTGTCAAAGACATACTCATCTGTTCTTAGGAATTTCTCTTTCTGTTGTATGCCTATTTAACACGTATCAAAATAAACTTTTTACTTCATGAAAATTATTACAGAGTTCTAAAAGCTCAATAAAACCTTTGTGTATTCTATGGATGAACTCGACTCAGCAAGTGGAAACTTTCTATATCTATTTTATTTTGTTGGTTTTTGTTTGGGGACCTGGCACTGCACAGGAACTATCCTTGGTTTCCCATTCAGGAGTGTACTCCAGGCATGTTCAAGGGATCATATGTGGTGTTAGGGATTCAAACCGGTTCTTTCACATGCAAAGCAAGAACCTTACCTCTTGAACAATCATCTCTAGCCTGTATTTATTTTTATTTGGGGTGAGGGGTTGGGCTTCATATGGTAGCAGTCAGTACTTAATCCTGGCTCTGTGAGTTCAGAGGTCACGCCTAGTGGTACTGAGGTCGACCAAATTAAAGACAAGCAACTTACCCCTCCCCAGGTACTATTACTCTGGCTCAGGCAAGTTAAATTTTTAGTGTGTGTGTGTGTGTGTGTGGGGGGGGGGGGGGGGGGGTGAACCATTCTCAGATAATCTGAACTTTTTGGAGAAAAGAAAATTCAACAGAAATTTACCATGCTATTTTTGTCATATACTAGTATTTGTATTATAATGAGTTTTTGGAATGTTCCAGGAATCTTATTTCTTATATAGTATAAATGGTTAAGTGTTTAGATACTGAGTTAAGGCTTTCTACATTTAAATCTCCATAACATTGTTTGACCCTGGACAAATTCTTCACCTCTTAAAAACTTGCATTTTCTTGGCTATAAAAAGAAGACATGGTTGTTACAAAATTTAATGGAGATTAATTCTGGTATGATCCTTTGAACAATGCTTGAATCATATACAAACTAAAATAAATAAATAAAGTTAAAAGTCTAAGTGATACAATCATGAACAAGTTACTAATAACCAAAAAAGGGGCGGGCAGGGAGAGAAACAGAGATACATTCATAATTTAAATATGGTATTTTATTCATTTTTGTGGTGCTGGGCTTAAACTCTTACCTCGCGAGATAAGTACTCTACTTCTGAGGTACATCATTGACCTCATAGACATTTAAACTGGAAATTTATAAATGCAATGTCTATCTTCTCCACTCTTCTCATAGTGGCATAAAGCTTTCACTGTGTATAGAGAATTCATTTTGAAAAGTACTGAACTTTAGCTTTCTTTGGCAAATCATACCATTAAGACACCAAGGATTTCAAGAAATTTGAGTGCTAAATTCTTCAGTTATATGTTGTTTTTCTAAATTAACTGTTACCCCTCCTTAATTCATTTGTTAGCAGTTTTGTCCTCTTTTCAAAGCACTGCATGTTTTTAATTGACATATAAAAAACTGGCAACAGTGAACACTTTGTATCATATTTTTCAACCAATAAAATAGACAGTCTTATAGAAAGTATAGACTACTAGCTTCAAGTCAACTTGCCATATTAATCACAGAACAAACGGAGTTGTCAATTCAGTTAAATGTTAACGATTCACTGAACCAAGTAATCTGTATGCCTCATACCAGTATCATTCCTAAAAATTCTCGCCCGTATTTTGAAAGTCAACTATATATCCCTAGTTTCAAATTATTATTATATATGCAAAACATAGGCCTTTAAAAAATAATTACATACACGAAAAGGTGACAAACATATAAGGAACTATGTATTAACATCAATTCTACAATATTTTATTAAATTCGACAAGGTGTATTACTTAAATTCTACAATAATTTCTAAATAACGAAAGTCAATATTAATGGGCATATACATAAAAACAAGAATGCAGAGGTGTAGAGATAATCAAATCCTGTAGTATATGCCTTATATGCAGGAGACCCAGGTTTAAACCCCTGTCTCACATGTCCACCTAAGCACCGAAAAGAGGAGCCACGAGCAGAGCCAAGAGTAGCTTCTGAGCATCACTGGGTATGGCCCCAAAACTAAAAACCAAAGGATCATGTGTTCCTATGTGATTGTGCATTCACACATTTGTATGAATATTTACAGTATCCCCCAAAACCGTTCACCTTTCATTCTTACCTTCCTCATATTTGTCTTCCGTCTTAAACTGTGGGCCTTAATCCATGAGGGGGCGAGGGAGGGGGGAGGTAAGTGGGGGAGGAATGGAGATCTAGGGACTTGAAGATACTTAATTTTTAAGTATCAGGAGTGCCTGCCTATATTCCTGAATTCTAGTTTGTTCTTCATTCAGCAATCAGCCGCCTACAAGGGAACCACAGTGTTTTGCTATTTTCTCCTAAAAATAATTTCAAGCTGAAAAGCTTGAAAATTAAGAAATTTCCTATGAAGTATAAAACACCTACTCGCCAATCTCCTCCAAATATCACATTAATAAGCTTACCTTATTAACTCTAGTTGTGCAAGTTCCTGATTTGCTTGAAATATAGGTTTTTTAGTGAAGAGTTCACCAAGTATACATCTATGAGAAAAATATCAATCATTAGCAAATGACAGGATTTCTCTTCACTACTCAAAGTTTTGAGTACATTATACTCGTAAGTCTGTCTTACCCACAGCTCCATACATCAATAGCTGGTGTATACCGTTCTTCTCCCAACAGCAGTTCAGGTGGACGGTACCATAAAGTGATCACCTTGTTAGTATAGGGCCGACTAAAAAGACACAGAAAGCAATCTTTGAAGTTAGTAATTTTATAGTATCTTCAGAATAATGAGACTCTGGAGCTAGAGAGAGGGTACAACAGGGAGGGCGCTTGCCTTGTATGCCAACCTGAATTCAATCCCTGGCATCCCATATGGTCCCCTAAGCATCATCAGGAGTAACCCCTGAGCATAGTGGAAGGTGGTCCAAAAACAAATGGAAAAAAACAAGTTTAATTTAAAAAAATTTTGAAAATACCAAAATTCTTTTAGGATATATAATTTGGATAATTCCATACTATTTTCTGCCTAAAAATAACAGTATGCTATGATATCTAATAAGTGATTAAGATAAATACAGAAAAGTAGTATGAGCAGCTAAAAAATTATCAGAATATATAAAAATTTAAAGGTAATTAACCTGGTTTATAGTAAGTTGGTAAAATCCATTTAATATCTGTTTTTCCTTTCCAACCCATGTTAGGGACTAATGATAAGAGTTGTTTAATTTTGATGAATCTGACAAACTGCTAAATAGAAAACATAGCAATGTAGACTCATTACACAGAACAATGTCTTTAAAGTGTTATAGGGGACCGGAGCAATTGTACAGCGGGTAGGGCATTTGCCTTGCACACGGACAACACGGGTTTGATCCCTGGCATCCCATATGGTCCCCCAAACACCGCCTAGAGTGCAGAGTCAGGAGGAACCCCTGAGCATTGCTGGGTATGACCCAAAGAGCCAAAAAAAAAAAAAAGTGTTCTAAGTCCTTGGGGGATGTTAATAATCTCTCAGATATACATGAAAAAGAAGATTCTAAAGTTAAAAGGTGGTTATTTGATGGGGCATTAAACTGCTACACCTCAAGGTGATAATATACATCTACCAATTTTTTTTTCCCTTGGGAGCCGCACTTGGCTGGTTCCTGGGCTCACTCCTGGTGAGGCTTAGAAGACTTGATATGGTGCTGGGGACTGAACCGAGGTTAGTCATGTCCAAGGAAAGTGCCCTACCTACATCACCTACTGCATTATCACTCCTGCCCCCTTTCTATCTGGGCATCCTCCAAGTAATAAGAACTAAAGTAATATTACGGAAATGATGCCTATTTATTCACCTGAGGTGATGTGAACCAGGACAAGTTCTGTAAAGAAGGAAAAGGAGCAAATAACTTATAAAACAACTCTCTTTTGCCAATTGTAGATCTGAACTTCCTGGTACATCGGCAGTCTGATGTGATCAACCACTCAACCAATTTTATCCAAATACTTTAAGCATGGATCAGTCTGGGCATTGAAGGATTCCCAAAGATAGATTATAACAAGAGTAAGCCAAATCTAGGTAAAGAAGGGTAACTGACTTTTATATAAATTAGGAACATAAGGAGGACAGTTTAAGACCTAGGAATAACAAACACATTTTTATGTTGTTGCACCACATCCAGCAGTGCTTAGGACCTGTTAGCATCTCTGCACCCTCGGGGCCTGCTCCTGGTCCATGCCATGCCAAGGACTGAACCCAGAGTCCTCACCATGACAAGAATGTGTACTGCCTGTTGCCCTATATTTGGATTAATTTTTTCAAGCATTATTACTTCTCTTAATGATTTTCCTTTATCAGCATTATATAATAAAAAGGTTTTAAACTCTATGTACTCTACATAAACTGAACTAAATTATTCTCTCAAAAACATGCACACCACTTAAGCTTCAGAATTTGAAATTTGCTCCCCTATTTTTCTCTCATGCAAATGCTTTACCTTCAAGACACAATTATGCCCCATCTTTGTAACATTTAACCTCTGTTAACAATATATTTTCACATTCTTAAATTTATATCATACTCACCAGTGTACCATTTTATGCTTTCTAATCTTCTGATAAATAACTCAGAACTTTATTATAAACTTTACACAAAGCTTAGGGTACTGTCACAGGTTGACACAGGCACTGCAGTTTGTATTATCAGACCACATTCAAGTGTGAGCTACAAACATTATGTGAAGGGGTCAGTATGTTGATTTCCATGGCTATGCAACTTTAGGAGACACACATGGATTATTAGCTCAGTGATAGAACACTGTGATAGAACAAATAATCCAAGTTAGGTAAATGAAAACTTAGTCCCCTAAATGAAAAAATTCAAACTGCTGTGATAATACATATGCTATGCTTTATTTTCATCTCGTGAATTGGATTAAAAACGTAACTATAAACTGAATAATCCCATTTGTTTCATGACTATATTCTACACAATAAATTTTGCAATCTACCAAAATACACACAAAATACTTTACCATTTTAATAAACAGCTCACTAGCTTTAATGTTATTCTTAGATAGCTAGGAACTAATGATCTCAATGTTATTAAGCTCTTTTTCTTTCTCTTTGCTTTCATTCTGGGCCACCTCCAGTTGTGCACATGACTTGTTTCAGCTCTGTACTGAGATCACTCCTGGGTCAGCCATGGGCCAGGCAAGCACTGGGGCAACAGTTGGTGGAGGGATGGGATGGGGAAGACTGCAGTGCTAGGCGCTGAACCAGTCCTCATAAACTGCAAGGCACGTGTTCTCCCATTTGAGACCCATCTTTTTGCCTACTAACTTAGATTCTGACTTGACTGTTTCTGGGCCACACCTGGCGATGCTCAGGGTTAAGTGCCAGCTACGGTCCAGCATGCAAAGCAGACTCCAGCACTGTGAGTTATCTGTCTGGCACCCAGGTTGAATTTGTTGCAAGTTTAACTTGTACCTGTTTTTAACAATTACAATATAATTGTATGATCTTGAAAATTTTCATTTTCTAAGCTAGCTCTTTATCTTCATAATAAAAAAGATTATATATACAAGAATTAAATCTATACCATCCATTTCAGAGCGTTGCTGTTCCTTAAATTAAGCGTGAAATGGTTTATATATGATAATGTACATAAATGCTAGTTAACTTTGTTTCTTTCGCTGTAAACAAATACATGTTAAAACACTAAAGCAAGCAGATGGTTTAACTCCTAACCACTCACGGTGGGAGCTACTTAGATCCTCTATATCTGTATCAATGGCAATACAGATAAAAATGACAATATATTGAATATTACATAAAATAATGAATAATGCACATGATACAAAGGAAGATGTGACAAATACTAACAGTGGTATCTGAGAAAATTTCAAAGGACATACAAAGAATATCAAATGAGAGGCTGGGGCGGGGGAGGAGGGTGGAGATTTGTGGCGGGAGGGAGACGAGTGCCCCTGTGGCCCTATGGTCTTGCCCTATGGAAGCCTGTGAGAAAGGATGGTGACCACTGGCCCATTCCAGCTGCCCAGATGCCGAGAGCCAACGCCAACTGCAAGAGTCAGGAGAAGTCACGGGAGATCATGGAGGCGGTGAAAGATTATGCTAAAGAAAGATACGGAGTATCTTCAATGATACAGTCTCAGGGAAAACCAGATCAAGTTTTGGTTTGAATTAAAGGCTTGACAGTAGGAAAAGCTGATGAAGTTGTTTGGATACGTGCGAGAGTTCATATGAGCAGAGCTAAAGGGAAGCAGTGTTTTTTGGTCCTACATTAACAGCAGCTTAATGTTCAGGCTCTTGTGGTGGTGGGAGACCATGCAAGCAAGCAGATGGTTAAATTTCCTGCCAACATCAACAAAGAGAGTATCGTAGATGTAGAAGGTGTTGTAAAAAAAGTGAATCAGAAAATTGGAAGCTGTACACAGCAAGATGTAGAGTTAAATGTTCAAAAGATGTATGTGATTAGTTTGACTGAACCCCGCCTGACACTACAGCTGGATGATGCTGTTAGGCCCGAAGTAGAAGGAGAAGAGAAAGGAAGAGCTACTGTTAACCAGGATACAAGATTAGACAACAGAGTCATTGATCTTAGGACATCAACTAGTCTTTCGTCTCCAATCTGGAATCTGCCATCTTTTCCAGGAAACTTTAGTTAACAAGGGTGTTATGGAAATCCAGATTCCTAAAGCTTCCAGTGAAGGAGGAGCCAATGTATTCACTGTGTCATATTTTAAAAATAACGCTTACCTTGCTCAGTACCCACAACTGTACAAGCAAATGTGTATTTGAGCTGATTCTGAGAAAGTTTTCTGCATTGGACCACTATTTAGAGCTGAAGACTCTTAATACCCATAGACATTTGACTGAATTTGTTGGTTTGGACATTGAAATGGCTTTTAATGACCATTACCATGAAGTTATAGAAGAAATCACTGATACCTTAGTAGAGATATTCAAAACACTTCAAGAAAGGTTTCAAACTAACAGTGAATAAACAGTTCCCGTGTGAGCAATTCAAATTTCTGGAGCCAACTTTAAGACTGGAGTATTGTGAAGCATTGGCTATGCTTAGAGAAGCTGGAATTGAAATGGGAGATGAAGAAGATCTCAGCACACTGAATGAGAAGCTGTTGGTTATTTGGTAAAGGAAAAATATGATACAGATTTCTTTGTCCCTGAAAAATATCCATTGGCTGTAAGACCTTTCTACACTATGCCTGACCCAATAAATCCTAAACAATCCAACTCTTACAATATCTTGAGAGAAGAAATACTCTCAGGAGCTCAAAGAATACACGATCCTCAGCTGCTAATAGAGAGAGCCTTACATCATGGAACTGATTTGGAGAAAATTAAGGCATATATTGATTCCTTCCATTTTGGAGCCCCTCATCTCATGCTGGTGGAGGCATTGGATTGAACGAGTAACCATGCTGTTTCTGCGACTACATAATTAATGTTTGTTAAACCTCAATGTTTCCCCGTGACCCAAAACGGCTCATGCCTTGAAGCCTTGGTTTTTATTCTTACTACTAACCTGCTATATCAGGCTATACCTTCAGCAACTTAAAATATGCAAAGGCACATTTGTCTTATCTAAAGTGCCACAATTACTTTTGGATTTATTCAGTATAGGTAATGTAAAAAAGATTTTTATAACTTTAGACATGCCTCAGTAGGAAGTTGTTGGACATTTTAATGAAAAATTCATATGGCTACATTAAAAATCCGTATTGATTTACTATAATAAATGTTAATAATTTTAAACAGTAAGATGCGTAAGATTTTTCTTTTCTATATTACAGTGACTACAATAGTATTGTCTTACAATTTTGATATTTGAGCTTATTTTTTAATAAGCTACAAGAATAGTTTTAAGGAAGTGTCTGAGATGTTAGTGTATAATTGGCATATCATGCAAGTTAGGCAAAAAGTATCAATTCTTAAAACATATCCAGAGATCATGTAAAAGTAGGTGAAAGTACTGGCCAGAAAATATTTAATATAACATTGTATTAAATTGTTGAATTTTAAACCTGAATTTCAAATAAAAATGTAAACCTAATTATAGTCATCTTGCAAAAAAAAAAAAAAGAATATCAAATGAGAAAAAACAATGTCAGACTAAGGTAGTAAATATAATTTAATACAAAAGAAAACAGCCATGAAGATTTTCAATTTCAAAGGTTCAATTTGTTTAGGAGAATTGAAAGTTTCAACATTATTAGTCTCTAGTGGCAGAGATAGGTAATAAGTAAAACCAATAAAATTCTATAAATGATCTGTAGGACATAGATCTAAACACTTAAAAGTAAATGAAAGAAACAAAAGGAAATGAAAAAAAAAAGGTGGTGGTAGGGCAAAATGAAGAACCTGTTTAATACAAATTACTTAGTTTATCTACCCAGTTAACACAAAGGTTTAGAGATCAGCTGTAATATCTCTTGAACTTCAGATCTATCTGAATCTGACACTAATCTATGTCTCCAAATCAAGTCCCTATCCTGAATCAGAATTATTGTAAGTGAGCTTTGTGCTTTATGGCAGTGTTTCTCAAGACTTTCCTGACCATAGTCCACCTCCAATCTTGTCCACTTCTCTGTGGGGCCTCCCTTGTCCTATGGTTGGCCCCTCATTCACATAATTTTCACTGTGTTCCTCTGGAAATATCCTGTGGACTATCAGAAAGTCTTGGAGCCCTTGCTCTGAAAAATGCTGTTTTAGGTCATTAAAAAATATGACTTGTTAAAATTCTAGCTTGAAAAAAAATGTACAAATACAGTAAGAACAGTGGTAAGTGCACAATTTTAATCCTAAATATGATTCACACTGTCCTTAAACAGTAGCAAAAATAACAATTTTACCCACCAACACCAATGGAGTTTTGCTTTTAATGGCAATTTTATAAAACGCCACTAGATGGCAATATTTCATGTAAAAATGACAGTTTTTAATTTGTAATTTTTACTACAGAAAAGAGATTTTGATAATCATATGAGTAAGGGTATGAGAGGGTTTGTGTGTAGAAAGGGGAGGTAATGGATAGGGGGTAGTTCCTGGTTTTGAGGCCACACCCAGGGTGCTCAGGGTACAGAAATCAGCTTGGGCACATACAAGGAAAATGCCCTACCTGCTACACTATTGCTCCTGCCCTAGGGAGGATAGGAGAGATTGTTAAATCCTTTATCTGAAAATTCAGAAAGTGATACTGAAAGATTAAATGACTTACCCAAAGTTCTACAACTGATTACATAGCAATTCCAGGCCACAAACCGAAGTTTCTTATGACATGTTTGTATTTCTGTGAAATAAGCTACAAGACTTTAGCTGATATGAAAAGCACATATTTTCTGATATGGAGCAGTTATATAACAAAGAAGGTTTCCCATCATTTGGAAACGTAACAGAGTAATTAATTGGTAAAATTTAAGAGAAATAACGGCTGGAAAATTCTAGGAGGAAAAAACAACTTATAAAAAGATACAGAGAGCTGGAACAACAGAACAGTGCATAAGGAGCTAGCCTTACAAAAAGCCGAGCTGGATTTGAACCCTGGCACTACATATGTTCCCCAAAGCCTGCCAGGAGTAATCCCTGAGCACAGAGTCATAGTACTACACTAAGTGTTGTAAGAAGTGGCCCGAAAACAAAACAAAAATTAAAGACACTGGAGGTCAGAGAGATATTACATGTGTTAAGGCACCTGCCTTGCATGTAGCTGATTCTGTTCAATTTCTAGCACCATATGGTTCGTGGGCACTTGCCAAGAGCAACCCCAGAGTACAAAGTTGGGAGTCATCTGCTAAAATTGTCATGTGCCACTGAAACCCCAAAATACACCAAAAAAGGATACTGAAAACTGAGTCAGTGATGAAGACTGGGGTCAAATCTTCTGTTCTCATATTCTATATATCCTAAATGCAAAAATTTTGGGGGGGATGGTTGGGGGGGCAGCCACAATCAGCCATGCTCAGGAGTTACTCCTGGTTTGGCACTCAGAAATCAATCACACCTGGTGGTGCTCAGGAGACCATATGGGATGCTGGGGGGATCAAACCCAGGTTAGCCGGTGCAAGGCAGCGCCTACTGCCTAGCTCCAAACTCCTCCCTCCCTCCCTCTCATCCCCTCAATGGTAAATGTGGCAAAACAGCAATACTGATCTTCAAATATGAAAAAGATTCTTCAAGTTTAAAGGAATTAGGTTACTTCTGGCTCTGCACTAAGGAATCACTCCCAGCGGTGCTCAGGGAACCATATGGAATTCTTAGAATCTAACTTGGGTACACGCTCTCTCTTGCCCCTTCTCTACAGCTTTTGTAGCACAGGACAGAGTAGAAGTATATTAAACTCTAGTCTTCACTTGTTACATGTTAGATACAACTCTATACACTTTCCCTTAAATTAAAAAAATATATAGTCAAAGCGAAAAGAGAAAAGTATATGATCCCTTTACAGTGATAAACTTAAATGTACTCAAGATGGAAACCAAGCCTTCTAATAATTCTTTGGATAATTCAGTTATTCTATTTGTAATAGTCAATAATTAGGAAATACTTCAAAGTGTTTTAAGATTTGGATATATTTGGTATGTTACAATAAAGGTTGACCTTTCTGCTTATAGTAAAGAAATACAAATAACAAATCAATTGCTAGATGTTTATTTCAAACTCCAGAAAAATTTAATATAGCATTCTGCAAAGGTAGATTTTTATAAGAAATAAGCCATGTTATCAAATTTTACTTAATACATATATTGTAAATCATTCACTAAATTAAGCACAGTTCTTTAATTTTAAGTAAATTTGAATTTCTTTTTTTCAAAGCATTTGAATTTGAAAATGGTAAGTTTTAATAGAGGAAATAAATTTTAAGGGATATAATACTGATTTATGCAACAAAGTAATAGTTTTTAATCAGAATTTGATTAAATATAAGTTACCTGAAGATGCAAAGTGACAGGATTTTACATTTCCTACTCTTTCAAACTCAAAATTATTATCACTTCAGCAGATCAAAGGGGACAATGACTCAATGAACACACCACAACTCTATCACTCCACTGAAATTCAACATTCCATTTCAAAAGAAAAAAGGAAAGTCCATGCTAATAATTAAAGCAAAGTGTATTAATTGAACACAATTTTATAAAAAGCAGATATACTGGACTTTTTCACCAATCACAAGAAGTATGAACATCTTAATGTCTAGATCTAAATTAGAAATCTAGCATGAATACTGAAAAAATTCCTAATACTTGCAACATTTAAAATGACACGTTTTAAGATATTGCATGTACTTCTAAGAGTTCAAAAAAATACTTCTAAATTCAAGGGAAAAGATACAAAAAAATTTGTAGTCAACCTGAAGAGAAATAAATTTCATTATCTTTTAAGTTTAGGAAGAAAATCCCCCTTTAGAAAAAAGGCTGTTGAACACACCTAGAGTAGCACCTAAAACAGGTATCTACTGTCTACAGTATTATTTAAAAATACTCTTACCTCTCTTCTGAGCTATACAATCGAGCAAGTCCAAAATCTGCAAGTTTTATCTGCCCTCTGATGAAAGACAATAAAATTATATCAATAACAAAAAGTTACATTAAACTGATTATACCCATTCATATTCAATTACTAACTGAATTGATTATGCCTATTTATATTTGATTATTAAAGATAAGTCAAACTACTTTAATTTTGATCCAAAGGCCTACAAGGGAGAAGGTAACTACACATATTCACAAGCAGGTAACACAAAAAAATTAGAACTCGTTTTTGGGTCATTCTACCTAATATTTACCATTTCCACTTCAAGAAGTAAGGTGGCAACTACCACTATTTTTATTTTACATAACAGATGCAAAGTGACAGGTTTAGAATGCTTAGAACAGCATTTCTCAACAGAAACGAAATAACCCTTCTACTTAGCAAGAAGAAGACAAGTACCTTGTCCAAAGTTATGCTCAAAACTAAATCATACAGTTAAAATTTTTCTTAAAGAGGATTAAGTATAGAAAACAATTTCTACCAACCAAAATTACAACCAGGTATACCTCCTTTAGAGTAACAGAACCTATATTATAAAAGGATTTTCGGATTTCAGGACATGCTCTGGTAAAACGTAAGCAGACTTGACATATAAATGCATGCATGTATATATAAACATACTTCAAAAATTCATCTTAAAAACTCTGCGGCTGTACTGCTGTGGACATCGGCTTTCGGTCCTTCAAGACCCCCAGGCCCACACAAACACAAAACTATAATGGGGGCCAGAAAGATAGTTCAAAGGACTGGAGCACATGCTTTGCATACAGAAAACCTAGATGATCTAACCTGACACCATACGGTTCCTGATGCACTGCTGGAAAAAAATCCCTCCCACTGAGGTGGGAATATCACTAATTGCTGCAAGTAGCCCCAAAATCCTAACAGAAAAGCAAATCATGACTGTTTTAGCATCATAAACAAATGTGTAATTCAACAAAGGGGACCAGAACAATAAATCTCTGGCTATTCATATTTAAATTTAAAAAAAAACATTTATAGGGCATGGAGAGATAGTAGACCAAATCAGGAGCTTGCCTTGTGCAAAGCTGACAGGGTTCCATTCCCGGAACTCCATATCCCCCACCCCCAGCCCACCATGAGTGATCCCTGAGCCCAGAGACAGGCGTAAGCCCTGAGAACCGCAGGGTACATCCCAAAATCCAAATAACAACAACAACCAAAAAATCATATATATTCTTACATAAGCTGAAATCATATTATTAATACAAGACCCACCACAGTACTTATAAGAGCAACAAAGTGTATATTATTTTGGGCGATACAAATCTATTACTGGAAGATAAAGTACACAACTTCAGACCTCACCCAAACACTAATGATGTTGTTGCGTTAAAATAACTTGAGCAATGGGATAAATTTTAAATACATTGGAAAGGGTGTTTGGGCTGGGGTGCTCAGAGCTCAGAGGATCACTCGGACAGGCCTTGGGGAGCGTGTGTAGTACAGGGATAGAAATCTAGTTTCGCTGTGTTTAAGGCAAATACTTGATACAATGTGCTAACTCTCAAACCCAAAAATTTCAAATACTCTAAACAGAATCATGTGGCATATACTAGTTAATATTCATTAAAATATATAATTCATACATACCTATTATTTAGAAGAATATTTGAACATTTAATATCTCTATGCAAAAAGTTCTTCTTATGACAGTAATCCAGACCTTCCATGAGCTGTCTCATAAAGGATTTTATGTGATTTTCATTAAAATGAACCAAGCCTGATTCCAGAAGTCCCATCAGATCATGGTCCATATATTCAAAAACCAGATAAAATGCACCTAAGAACAAGAGTAATACATTGAACATGATTATTCATAAACGTTTCCTTTAGGTCAAGTTTTTAAAAAGAAAATACTAGGGGGAAAATACCATCCTTAGAAAGTATCGCTATTTTGTCACTTCAATCCAAAACTTTATTGAAAAATATCTAAAACAGTCTACCTTAGCAATTAAAAAGAACAAAACTGCTAATAGAATTTAATAAAGTGAAGCTCAATGCACCCTTAAAAAAGCATCTGAAGTTCACAATCAACACCTAATTTAATAGAGATCTCATGTAAGCTTGCAACAGAAGTATTCTTCTAAAACATTAATGGACCCTCTGTGAACAGCAACCAGCAACCAATGTCATACTAAATTGCCAGGTGGTAAGATAAGTGTCTTACTGAATTCTGAAAGTAAATAAATAGAATTAAAGACAAAATATAAACACTGAAAGACATTGTATGAGAGAGCATCTATGATAGGGGTAAAAAAAATGCAGAACACAAAAGACCTTCATACCATATCACAATTCATTAAAAACAAAAATCACTGCATAAATGAAAAAAACTGAAAGTGTATTGTGGGGTGGCACTGAAGCTTTGGCGGTAGATACAGTGAGTCTTATAGACTGGGAGAAGTGTGAAACTGCATTCTTGAATTGAAATTATATTCACTGTCACTGTCCTCCCATTGTTCATCGATTTGCTCAAGCTGGCCCAGTAACGTCTCCATTTTTGAGACTTGTTGTTACTGTGTTTGGCATATTGAATACGTCCCGAGTAGCTTGCCACGCTTTGCCCCGCGGATGACATACTCTCGGTAGCTTGTCGGGCTCTCCGAGAGAGGCGGAGGAATCAAACCCAGCTCGGCCAAGCTGGCTGCGCGCAAGGCATTAGCCCATAATAAATCAAGAAAAAAATAAATTTCAGTATACTACAAATGACTAAAAATAAACTTTAACAATTACAGAAATTCATTAATATCAAAATCCTTTAAAGAAATATCAAAAAACTTTGTTTTCCCCTTGTTATGATAATGTAGTTATTTGTCTTTTATATTAATACTTTTTTCAGTGTATTATATATTGATGGACTTTGCAAAGACTTAGGAATGAGAAGCATTTTCACTACAAACAATGAAAACTTGAAGTATTAAGTAAATAAAATAAAACAGCAAAACAAGAAATAAAAAAGAACCCAAAAATCCTAAATATTATAGTACATCGATTACATACCATGCACTTGAAAAAACACTGTTGAGATACAGTACTGATGTGAAGATGTACTGATAATGTTGAATTAGAGTAACTATCAATTACTGATATATCTATCTCACTACCCTTATGATATTTAAGTACTATCCACAAGGTATTAACAGAGACAAAGTATTTAGAGCTGCATACAGCTACTGAATACCTGAAATGTGGCTAATTCAAACGTTCCAGAAATATAAAATATACAACAAATTTTAAAGACAGAATAAAAAATATAAAAACATCTCAATAACTCCCTTTATAGAAGTTACCATGTACTAAAAAGTTCTATTAGATATATTGAGTTAATAAAAACGATTAAGACTGATTTTAATAAGGCTATTTAATTTTAAATTAAAATATAACAAACTGCTTTCTACTTCTACTAGATAGCATGAATTCAGAAGTTTAACAATTGAAATAGGAGAGCTAAAGCCCTCTAGACAGAGAACATGATTTTTTCTGAAGACATTTAATGAAAGAAAACTTTAAAAATAGAAACGAAATACAGAAAAACAGCATAAATATAAAATATTATAGTTATTAACGTAAGTACCAGGTTAAAAATAAGACAACTCAGGCTATATTCATTGATGATAATGTCCATGTTCCCAGAATATATAAGACACAAGTAAAATTATTAAAAATAATTTTTCTTGGGGCTGGAGGGTACAGCTGGTAAGGTGCTTGCCTTGCATGTAGCTGACCTCAGTTCAATCCCCAGGAGTAATCCCTGAGCATCATCAAGTGCACCCCCCCACAAAAAAAAAACTAAAAATAAAATTTGGGGGCTGGAGACATAGTACAGGGGTAAGGAGCTTGCCTTGCATGCGGCCGACCCTGGTTCGATCCCCGGCATTGCATATGGTCCCATGAGCACCGCCTGGAGTGAACCCTGAGCACAGAACCAGGAGTAAGCCCTGAGTACCACCAAGCGTGACCCAGCCCACCCACCGAATTTACAAAAAAAAAAAAAAAGCGACTTTTTCTCCAACAATTAAGCAAGTTGATGTTATATCCACGACTAAAAGTTCTTAGTAATACCAACAAGAATATGTAATAGAAGGGGAGTGTTGTATATTAATGTCTAAAGCTGTAAAAATTTCCATAATTATTAAGTGTGATAGCAACAATTAAACAAGAAATCAGAAATCAAGCTAAACAGAAATGAAAAAACATACTCAAATACATAAAAAACTTTAATGAATGAAAAGATGGTGTATCAATTTAGTGGGAATAAAGACAGATGAGGGTTTTTTTTTTTGCTTTTTGGGTCACACCTGGCGATGCACAGGAGTTACTCCTGATTCATGCACTCAGGAATTACTCCTGGCGGTGCTCGGGGGCCCATATGGGATGCTGGGAATCGAACCTGGGTCGGCTGCGTGCAAGGCAAACGCCCTACCCGCTGTGCTATTGCTCCAGCCCCAACACAGATGAGTTTGAAAGCAAACTGGAACTATAATAGATCAAACTGGTCTATTCAAGTACAAATTCCAGACAGAAAACTGCTTTTTATTTTTATCTTTTATTTTGGGTTCGTCTGTGGGCCACACCTGGTGGTGCTCAGAAACTATACCCTAGTGTGGCACAGATAAGAAACAAGGCGAGCACTATATTCTCAGGATTGTTTCTCTGGTTTCTGAAAACAGTTTTTTTTTTAAATTAAAACTAATTTACTCTACTCTGCAGTTTTGAATATGAAACTGTGCAAATGTATTCTATAATTAAAATGCAGAATCTCCTGCTCCCATGCCAGGTTGTCTTCACCCGGGGCCTCCTTGCAGGGGGGGCAAGTTGAGTTTCCCTCCCGGCCCCAAGCAGAATCCCGGCAGCCAAAAACCTCCTGAACCCAGCTGCAGCTATGCTCAAGGCCACTCTCCACAAGTTCGCACGAGCCTCACACATGAAGGAACCAGCAGAGGAACCCAGGTATGTGGTACCCGGGGCTGAGATCTCCAAGCCTGCTGAGATCGAAGCTGGACCTCCACCACCCAGATCCCCAGTTTTCCAGTAGCTTGGCAGTCACACCCACAAACTACCCTCGGCCATGTAATCTCATCAATGGTCAAGATCCAGAGACTATGAAACAAAACTCCCAGAAGAGAGGGACGCAGTTTTTCCTGGAAGCCACAAAAGCCTCCATTCCTCACTGAGAGCCCAGAGAGCCCAGCAAGCTACCCATGACATATTTGATATGCCAAAAACAGTAACAATAACAGGTCTCATTCCTGACCCTGAAAGAGCCCCCAATAAGCCATTGGGCTACACTATCACACAACAGGAACAAATGGAGACGTTACTGGTGTCCGCTAGAGCATATCAATGAACAATGGGATGACAAGTGACAAAATGCAACATTAGGGCCAGGGTCACTGTCACTGTCGTCCCGTTGTTCATCGTGCGGGCCCATTAACATCTCCATTGTGAGACTTGTTGTTACTGTGTTTTGGCATATCGTCACAGGTAGCTTGCCAGGCTTTACCATGCAGGCGCGATACTCTTGGTAATTCTCGGTGGCTTGCCAGGCTCTCCAAGAGGGGCAGAGGAATCGAACCCGACTCGGCCAGGAAGGCTGCACGCAAGGCAAATATCCTACCACTGTGCTATATTACTGTGCGGAGGACATTTGCCTTGCTTGTGTCCGACCAGATTCAATCCCTGGCACCCTATGTCCCTGGCCATCTGCCTTGCACTCTGCTCAGAAATGATCCATAAGCAGAATCAGGAGTGAGCACAAAAACAAACCAAAAAAACCCAAATCATTAAACCAAAGACAGTCGTGTGTGTGTGTGTGTGTGTGTGTTTAAAAAGCAGTGCTAAAAAAACTGGAAACTGATAAAACTAAGAGCAGAATAACTGGCTGCATGAACTGTCTATGCTGCAAAATATATATTCATATAGAGCATATTTTAAGGATGAAAAAGCCTTATTATTGAGATTAGCATATACAAATTGCCATATGTACACTGAACAGTGACACCTATAGCATATTAAAATCAGGAAAGGGAACACCAAGAAAGTTTCTCTTTTCTGTCATCTTTACACAATCAGAACCTTGGACTGGGTCCAAACTGCCAAGATTCTAAAAGGCGAAATGCAGTTATGAACATTTTATTTAATGTGATTAACTACCATAACTAAGTTAAAAAAAAAACTATTCCTTTAATCTTACTTTCTTGGAAAAGCCAGGAAAGCCGGTCACCACGCTTTCCAGAAAGAAGAGTAATTTTGCAAAAGCTCAAACACAGAGCTGACACCTGTGCAAACCTGACCAACTATTATCTACCTGAGGGGCCACCTCATGAGCTGAGTCTCTGACCCTACTGAGGTTTCCAGTTACTACATTCCCAATCAATGTCGCTGCAATTTCATGAGAAATTACGAGACAAAAATAACCAGCCTGGATGTTCCTAAATCCTGTGCACATAAAAAAGACAAAAGACAGCAACCTCCAGTACCACCCATGAAGGGCAACTGCCTAGGAACTGTACTCTTATCACAAAAAGAATCTAGATCAAATTACAATTTATAGTAAACATAAGAAATAGAACAAGCGGGGGTATGGTGCCGCCAGCAGGTCAATCTGTACCTGTGAGGCGAGTGCATCAGCAGCCTCATGGCGCCTTCAGACTTCCAGATACTCCAAAATTGCTGCTGTGCCTTTGGCCAGACCCCAAAAACTTGGGGCAAAGTTTACCAAGAAAGTAAATGGCCAAAAGTTAGGTATGTGGGAAACACACCCACAAACCACCGCTGGCT